AGGTTGCCAATCATGTTGGCCTGCCTTCAGTTCCAAGGGTGGTTCGCTGTTCACCTGGTCCGGTTTCTGCTCTTGTATACCAGCCCCTTTAAAGCCAGGTGAATGCGAGCACAGGTCACATAGAGAAGCACCTGGTGCATGCATCCTGCTCCCTCCTGCCATGCCCATCTCGGCTGCTGCTGCTGCTGCAGTCTTTTCCGGCGGCAAATGCTCTTTCGGCAGGTTCCATGTTGACAGTTGCTGTGCTTGCAAGTCCTGAGCTGGCAGCTTCTGCAGAGGAAGCTTCTGTGCAGCTTCTGGTTGCGCTGGCAATCCTGTCACAACCTCTTGGTGATGCGACGGGTGCTGCAGACGGGGAAACGGCACTGAGGAGCAGCGGAAGCACTGCGAGTCATTGTCAGGGCCACAGAAGAGCCGATGCTCTGTGGCAGGCACAAAGCGCGGAGCTCTCCCCTTGGCCTTGGCCAGATTTCCAACAGTGTCCGGCACAGCCTGGCATGACTCATGCGGTGCAGCTCTGCATGTCACCGACATGGAACAAGCCTCATGTGACGCTGCTCCGTCTCTTGCCATGGCCTCACTGTGATGCGAAGCGGCATCATCATGAGCGATGGGGTAACCAAGCCGCGTCTCGCATGTTCCTTCGGTCCGGCTGCGCCGCAGCAGCGGAGGAGCTCCTAGCGACGGCTCCAGGGCGCTGGGACACGCCGAAACATGCATTGGAGTGGACGTCGTCGCGGGGCTTTGATTCGGGAATCTGATGTGGTGGGACGATGCGGATGGGCAGCGGGCGGCGGGGAGAATATCATATTCTCGTCCATCGGTGATGCCTTGGGGGCTTATTCTCCGTTAATCCAGCACCGTTGGATCCTGCCTTGCACCCACCGTGGACGCCGTTGGATCCCGAGTCGCTTGATGCCGTGGTGCTGGTATGGCTTGTCCATGGGGTTGAGTGATGCTCCCACGACGGGTTGGTGCTGTGACTAGAAGTAGCCGTGGCGGGATGATCCCAAGGGTTGGGCGCGGAGTGCCGTTTGTGGCGGAAGATGGGCGACACGGGAGCGTGCAACAAGTGCCAGAGGGATCCCACGCTCCATCCGCTCGTGCTGATGCTGCTGCTGCTGCTGCTGCTGCCGCCGCTGCTAGTAGTAGTGCTCCTGTCGCCGTGATAAAACGAAAACGAACCGCCGGTAACCGTTGCTGCCTCCGCGGTGTAAAGGCTGTACGACCAACGGGAGGTAGCGCTGCGTTCCGCGACTCCCGGCGACTGCAGAGGCCTTTCTGTCGAGTCGCTATTGGCGCGCACCATCGGTCGTTCCCCATCAAACCCGGCGGCGGCGTGCGCGCCCGTGCTGTTCCGCCGGACATCTTGAATTGCGCTGCTGCTGCTCCCCCGGCTCAGGCTCCGCATTCCGCCTCCACCGCTGCGCGGGAGTGCGTTGGCGGGCGCTTCGCAATGCTTGTTTCCGGCTCCGCCTACTAGCGCCGCGCGGCCCATCGTTCGCTCGACCGCGCGGAGGCTTCCGCCCACGAACGCGCCCCCGCTGGTGTCGTCGTGCGGAAGATGTGTTGACCATGCGTTAAAATGTTTGTCGTCTGTTGCCATTTCCGCGGGGTTCTCGCGCCGCCCGTGCTGTCCAGCGGCGGCACTCACGCTACTAGATTTGTAATTCTCTTCGTCGTCGCATGAGAGGAACCCGCCACTGTCGCTGGAATGGCTCTTCGCGAAATCGCTCGTTTCGCCGATTCTCCCGCCGCCGCTCTCGTCGATCATGGTCGCAGTGCCGACGAGCGCCGACGTGACTAAATCGAGCTCTATCGAGTCGCTGCTCGTGACAATTTTGAGGGCCGGGGGGCGCCGGGAGGGAGCGCGGAGAGAAATCGGTAACGACGCCGCGTGAGGGGGGAGACAGGGCGCGGAATCGGCGGATCGTCTTCCTAAACTCCGCAACAAATGACCTCCTAGACTGGCCATTTCCACGATACTCCCAAGGTCGAGCTTCACACCAATGACTCAGTATCTCTGAAAATAGTTACTACGGCTGAACTTCGCTTGCAGAGGATACCTTTCGTGGGCCCTCCGAGACGGAATACCGTCTAATACTGAGCGGGAGAAGAAGCATGGTAAATTCGATAGCGATCCCCTGACACGACGAAGTTTTTTTAGGTGATGATGAGAGGGGCGAATGCGCCCTGCTATATGTTCAAATCGCGGGGAGTAGTCTATGTGACCGTAATAATCCTCTACGTTTGTGACACTAGTGTGTCAAGGAGGGACAGGCTACGTACGCGTACTTACAAGCTAGGGACCTGGTGACACTGGTTTCCCTAAAATGTATGTTACGAAAAGTCTCTCAACATTGGGAAATTGGTTCTGAACTGATTCGTATTTCATTAACGCGTATCTGGTGTGACATCTTCACTTATTCCTGACGGTATTCGATGGGGAGAAAAGGAGCACTGCCCATAGGCGTCCACCACCACAGATACAGTACGGTACATGTCGTCATGTACAGTACATGACGATGACGTGCTAGGGGGTTGGGCTGGGTCAATTCAGTTCAATTTCGCGGAATGCAGGTCAAGATAACTTTTTGACAGCTGGCAGGAAGCACGCTTTGCCGATGCTGAAGCAGCAAAATTGGCAAAATTGCGCGACACGGCCGATCGCGCGCCTCTCACGGCTCGCACCGCAGGTAGGGCGATCGAACCTTCTCCAAAAGAATCGACCTACATGCGCTTTCGCGATTGTAACCGCCCTTTCGGGTTTGATAGAGCAGTCGGCCAGGTGGGATGGCATTCTTTCGGGACGCTGGATGAGTTTCGCATGCATACAACATGTGTGGCAGGTGCCTCGTGTACTCTAGAAAAGACAAGATCAGCATTAATGCGACATCGGTGGTTTTGTCTGTTACGCGTGGCACGATAATGCTTCGCGAGCTTGTACGATCTTCTACCCCCACGCGAATGATGACGCGTGGTAGTTTGTGAATTGTAGTGCCACATTTCACGAACGTTCGTGTACGTTCACAGCTGTCAGGTGGTTTTGACAGCAGCCCGTCATGAACGCACACCACGTTTCCAGCCTATATTCATGACGTGTTCATTGACAGACGCGAACTCCTCACGATTGGTCATGGGTGTTGATGGGTTAGCGTGATTCGTTGTCAACCTCGCAGGTGTTTACGTCAAGATGGCATGGCCTTTCACAACATCGACTTGCACATCATGAATGCTGCCGAAGAGGTCACGAGGGTTTGACGGTCTTACACACAATGTTTTGCGCATTCCGAATTCCACATACTTGTACTTCGTGGTTTAGAGCAAGTTGTTTCCACTGTTGGTCGTATGCTCTTCGGACTCCTTCACTGATCGAAGCCGTACTCATGGATACCAGGAGCAAGCGCCACGGAAAGAGGCATGACGAGTCTACGCACGACGACTCGTCAAGCGGAGACTCAGCCTCTTCAAGCCCTAAGGTAGTGGAGGTGACTCCCAAGAGTCGCAAGAAGGGTCGCGTTACGAGGGGAGGTCGCGCGACTGCTACTCATGAAAAGCCGTTCGACGTACCTACCCGAGTGGAGAGCGTTGAAACTCTCGACCCCGTCGACGACATCATCACGGAGTTCACAAAGGGTGTCCCTCCGCCACCGTTGACTAGTCGTGGGAAGATGCCTGCGTACAAGCCGTCACCGTACTTCCCCACTAAAGCCCTCTACAACAGCCTCGGTCAGAGCGTGTCTGTGGGGCAGGTTGACGCTGCACGGGTTCAAGACGCGTGCGAGTTCAGCACCCCGCTGATCGACTTTCACAACATGTAAGTGGTTTTACACGTTCTAACATTACGCAGCACATCTTGCGTTACGCGTCGTGCTATATCTTGCATCTGATCTAATTTGTCCGGCCGGTGCTGCAGACTTGCGCACATCAGGAAACCTAAACTCTCCGATGGTCAGACCTGGATCGCGCTGGACGCCAGCGCTTACACCACCAGCATGCAGGGGCGCCGGCTTATCCAGCGTCCCGACAACAACAAGATACTTGACCACAACTACGTCCTCGTAGTTGTGGCCACTGAGTAAGAATGTCTACGGTTTAGCCGTGCGTTACATGTTTTGGCTTTCACCCACGTTGCCTGACCCGGTGTGTGTTATGTTTTTTCAATGCAGCTCTCCGAAGCACTTCAGTCTCGTCGTCGTGAAGGAGCCGGGAGTGCTGAAAGGGGACGTGCCCCAGGTGGGGGAAAATCGTATGCCTGTCGCAATCATGTACGACTCTTCGGGGGACCATTGGCGGCAGTCAGAACTCATTTTCAGTGAGATAACCATGTGAGTTTCACGGGTCATGCTTTGATTGTTGTCTCCCTAACAGGTTTCGTATTTTATCGTATCGCTCAGACGCGCTGAAACTGTTGCCATGTGCAGCCTGGTCGGCCTGCTGTTGACCGCTGCGTGTCCGTCACTGGGTAAAGCCGAAGTTGAACGAAGACTCGCGCGCATGCGTACTGTCTTGGCGCCGGTAAGCACTTCCTTCCTGCTCCCCTCGTTTACCGATACTATTCACTCCTCCGTTATGTGCTAACTTGATGTTTATCTGTGTTTATGTGTCGGCAGAGTTACGGCTGCCCCGCGCAAACCAATGGCTACGATTGCGGCGTCTTCGTCTGCATCTACATCCACGAGCTCGTCGCCACCGACTTCAAGTTTCTCGAAGTAGGTCTCCCCGCCCTGACCTACGAGCCCGGAAAGTTTCGCCGCAACCTACGCGGCGACCTGATACATCTGGCGATGGGGACCCTCATCGGCCTGCTTGTACGGGAGAAGTGTCTTGTCCCGGATCAGGACCCGCCGCTCGCCATCAGGACGAACTCAGCGGTGCCCCGTGAATACCTGGCGCTCGACGCTAAGCTGCGCGAGCTCTCCGTGGAACTGGGTAACACACAGATCTGTATCAAGCATGGTGAGGACGAAACATTCCGTGTGGAGGGCAGGGTCGCGGACATGGAACTGGAGTTGAAATCCATGTGGGAAGAGTTAGAGCGCGTGAAACAGCTCGCCCGCGCAGCTGGTCAGACTCCCAGGAGCGGCCCCAACATCGACGGGGCGACATCCGGCCTACGTGGCAGCGTGTGGGATATCAACGAGAGGGGGAATGACGCCACGCACATGCGCGATGCATCAGCGGTCGTCCGGCAGTTGCTCACAAGCCTGGGGGCGCAGGAACAATCTCCTGTGTGTCGAAGCCCCGCTGCCATGCAGACTGTGGCCCTGAGTGCTAAGCCAACTCAGGCTCTCTCCGAGATGAACAGCCAAGCACTCGCTGTGCCGCTCCAGCAAACGCTCGAGGTTCAGGGGGAGAGTACCGGGCCTCCTGCAGCGACAGCCGCTGCGGGCGGCAAGACAGGGCCCGAGGGTGCAGGCGGAACGCTGGTCCCCAAGATTTCCTACGCTGGTGTGCACCTGCTGCGGGATGGTTTGTGGCATGTTAAACTGGTGAAGGACCCGAAGAACCCGAGCACCATCATGCTCGGGTCGTACGAGGACCAGCTCGTCGCTGCGCGGGCGTTTGCCGCTGCGGTGCATGTCGTCCGTCGCCATCAGCCTATTCGTGGCCGGGTTTTGCCGCTGCATGGTGCCGACCTCGAGATACTGAAGGGTTGCACCACACGCCACGTGGAGTTCTTGGCCAGGCGGAGGGCATGGGGTCGGTGGGAGCGATGGCAGACGGAGATTGAAGAGATGGGCGGCCTTCCTGCAGAAGGGGAAGTAGGGGCAGCGGCGGCACAGACCAACGAAACAGCCGCGGCACAAGTCCATGATAGTGCCGCAACGCCTTCCTCTGAGCCGGATGTGGCCCGGGTCACCGAGCCCATTGCTGCACCAACCCGTGGTGACGTGGTGGCAGCTGCCGCCACCCCACTTCCAGGAAACGATGGCACGGCGCAGGAAGACGAGGGTGGTGCGGCGACCGTGGGTAAGATTGTTATTTTAGCACTACATGCTCCACATATAGCCGTCTAAGCTTACCCCCCCTCTTATTTGTGTATGGCAGGAAATCAGAACCAGGAGAACACCATCCGTGACTAAAGCACGTCACCTCACCATAGAGTTACTGAAGACGACTGTGTGTGTTGCAATGCTGGTGCTGCTGTGGTTCTTGTGTGTTTGACTCGTTATCCCTCCTTTGTTTCCCTAAAAACCCTGTAGATGCATTTAGTCGAGGGTTTAGAAGTTGTTGCGACAATTATCAGGGTCGGTTTGTAAGTGGCGATTAATGTGTGGGGTCCATATGTTTTACTTGATTCCATTTTCGTGACCTTGCCTGTGTTTGCTTATCTCATGAGCACCTGATTTGGTTGCTTAGTGATTCATGAAATTGCATGTCACGCGCTGAAAATGTACCGAAAGCTCACGTAAAAACACGAGCCATCCGGGTCTGCTTCGGATCGAGTCCCACACTCACATGGAGACGTTTCGGTTCAGTACGATTACGGACGGTTGTCGTGAATACCTCAAATTGTAAATCGAGTGTATATCTTATACACAATAGCAGGACAGCAGATACTTAAGAGTTTAGGTTCAGCGCCTCATAAGTCAGCGGACCAAAGCAAGCGCATTAAAATATGATGACATTACAGACCTGACGTAGCATTACTCATGATTTTCAGGCAATTTGCAGAAACTAAAACACAAATCTTTATTAGATTTGTCCTCTCAATAGGCATCGACCGGCTGACATCACTGACATCCTTGCAAAACATCTGGAAAACTGGAATACACACTGAACCACTTGACATGACACTCTACACTGAGAACACAACGTCAATGGTGTCTATCTAGTTCGTGGTTTTAGTGCAGTTTGATGGCACAAGTTCTCACCTAAGATTTCCAAAGATCACACTGCTGGGTAGGATATATGGTGGCCTGTGGGGTCCATGTATTTGTTTTTAAGTGGTGTTTGGGGCTGTATAGAAGAAAGGTTGGTCTGCTGCAGAATAGTTAGATGGTATGAGTTTTTGAACAACATGTCATATACTGATTTAGAAACTACGCTTTACCGACGGATCACACGCAGACCCTAAACTGTGGTGGTATTAAAATGTTTGTAACCCACATCGTTCATGGTCGTTTTTCAAGCAAATGTAGTTTCTATGATTATCCGTTTGGCCAAACTTGTGTTTATTAAGAATTAAGTTGGTGTAACGAGATTTCGTATCAAAACATTACCCTCACTTTCATAACAAATCTCGCGCGCCTCTGTGAGGTGTCGCGAGCGAGGGTCAGGGCTGGCAAACCCCGTCGTGAGATTTCGTGAATACACCTGGACTCGTAACGGTTCATGAGTCGTCACAGACGGACAATTCGATACCACGAGTGGATCGTGCAGTTACGCGTTCAACACGGTAGTGACTCATGGCACTTGTGGTAATATCCGTGATTGCATGGTGCGCATTTAACACAGACCGTTCATGTTAACGAAATCTCGTGAAGTTTGTGAATGATACGTAAAACATCACGATTGGTCATGAAGGTCACAGCTGTTTTAGGTGCAGAATGTAAACCACTTTTATTCTGATGCTTCTCTACTGTAGTCAGCTTATAATCCACTAACAAAATATAGGGTGTACCAAAAGTGATCAGCCGATGAAAAAAAATAAAAATGTTTACCAACCCTCCCCCGACCCATCCCCCACCTCGTCTTCCTGCACCTCCTCCCGTGACTCTGCCTACGGTCCCCCCTGAGGGTATCCACCATACTTCCACTTGCACTTCAGACGGTTGTGCCCCAGCTCCCGGCACCTCCCGCAACGATACGCATGGGGTGCTGTCTCCACACGAGTGTGGTCCTCCGGGCGGCCAACCCTGGTCAAGACAAGAGATGGCGCATCACAAACCCCAGCCGGAGCTTTGGGCACCTCTCTTATGAATCTGTCAATGCAAGTCCCCCTCTCCCCGAGAGACCACCACCTCGCCGGTTGTAGCTCGCATAGCCGGCACCCGGGATGCTGGAGCCATTGGCAGCCGGACCCGCGTCAGCGGCTGCCGACGATCCTCGAGGAGCATTTCTGGCTGCACGGCGGCCATCGCGACCGGCCTCGAAAACGTATGCCCGTGCACCCTCATACGTTTGTCGCGCCTGTGGAGGTGGTCGAGTCGCTGGTTCTGGTGGGAAATCCGGCACCGGCGGATCCTCCCTCCCAAACAAGTACAGAGCCATGTCGGGAAAGTCAGTCCGGCAGGCTGCAATGAGTGCCAGCCACTTCACCTTACTCCTGCACTTGACCAACCGCCAGAAGAACTTCATAGCTGCCTTGCCGTGCCGCTTAAGGTTCTGTTCCAGGTGCCAGGCGCAAAAATAGTGCGGGATGTGACTAGGCATCACCTCCTTGGCTGCCGGGACAAGCCCTTTGTCCCGATCGCTGATCATTGCCGCGTGTTTTTGCTGGACCCACTCCGGAAACCCTTCAAGGAACAGCCTCAGGAACCAGCTCCATGACTCTTTGTTCTCAGATTCCACCAACCCCCAAGCCAGCAGGAGAACTTTTTGGTTCCCATCGAGGGTAACAACGACAAGCAGCATCGCCTTCTGCGCGCTAATCAGGTGCGTACCGTCGAACGCGACAACCGGACGGCAAAAGTTGAGTGCATGGCGCGCCGCGGAAGGACGGACGAAGAACCTGTGGAACAACCCTCCTAGTGTATCCAGCTGCACTTTCACCCCGGGGTCAATGACCTGGAGCCGATCCACCAACCAAGGAATCTGTCGAAACGACTCCTCCCAATCCCCATACATCTCCTTCATGATGTACTCGCGCAAACGCCATGCCTGCCAGTAGTGGATCTCCTGGCCCCCAATACCCTCCATCTGACGCATAATGTGAATCGGGGCCAGGAACGGATCAGCGCGGACCATATTGCCGTAGGCGCGAATGAGCACGGGTAACTTGTTAGCTATGTCCTCGGCGTATGCATGCCTATGTTCAGGTCTGCAGATGTGCTCCTCCACTGGTACAAGACCCGTGATGCGCCAGAAATCGCCATGCTTACACTGCGCATACGAACAGCTCCGAAGGCACGCCGGCAGGTGCCCCTCCGCCATGGACTTGCAGCCCACTACCACGTATCTCTCCTTCGTGATCATAACCTTGTAGCCGAACTTGTGTAGAAGGGCGTAAACCTGGACAGCCTCGAAGCATTTGTCACGTGACGAGTACACACCACCCACTTCCAACGGCGCATTGTCATTAGGGCCTTCTAATTCCCAGTCAATCTCAGGAGCGGAGTGCATCTTACGCAGCGCAATAAGCTGCGGATTTCCCGCCATGATTGCGGGATTCCGCTACATTCGCGGGGGGGCTAAACGGCAGCCGGAGAGATCTAAAAAACGAGAACAAGGTAAGACCAAGTCGGAAGTGTTAGATGTTTCGTCAGTAGACTACGAAGAAGTTCAAATCTCACGAAAACAACGGACTCCCCTCTCAATGGATTAAGGGCGCGTTTCACCTGATACGATCCCGATCACTTTCAGTCATTGCTCAGTATGGTTACGTCATGAATAATGGGCACTGAAGGTTTGACTGGTTTACAAGGGTTTTTGGTACGGTGGAAAGTCGTGATATCACGATGTTCAGCAGGATCGGCTACCCCGTAACGCGTCCTAGTGGAACCGATATGCTGCCAAAACTGAACATGACAAAACTAATGCAAACAAAAAAGGAATAAGACAAACAGGGTCGGCGCGACCCTGGCATGACCTGGCGCATCATGATGCTACAATGTGCAATTTTGGTTTTTGTGAAGGACTTGAAAAACCTAATGGAAATTTCGCGATACCGCGACGACGGACAAAACTGACCTGTAATATAGAAAACACCTGGTTTCAGGGTGAAAAAAACGTGGAAGCGCATGTAGGTCGATTCTTTTGGAGAAGGTTCGATCGCCCTACCTGCGGTGCGAGCCTGGTCGACAGGATTGTGAGAGGCGCGCGATCGGCCGTGTCGCGCAATTTTGCCAGCAAAATTGGTGACAACTCTACTGTACCGGCTCTCGCCGTCTCGAACAAGTTGTGTACAGACCACACCGCTTCCGAACGTTCCGAAACCCTCAGTGTTCCGGTCTCGATGACCACCTGCAGTAATCCATTTGATTCGAGGAATGGGGAAGATAGGGGTATGAGATCCACCAAACAATGAGCTACACGTTGCTGTCCCGCACGAACGAGCGGAAAGCATCCGCACCGCAACAGGTTGTGCGACTCCGCTCGACCCGAAGCAAGCGAGACGTGGTGGTGGTGAGAAGAAGCGTCTCGTTCAGCTGTCTCCCATGGGTGATCCCTGGGTTTGGGAGGAGGGAGTGTACAGCTAATGCCCATTAGAATAACCAAAATGGTAGTTTATAACACTCTACCCACAACATTGCAGTGACAGATTTCCGTTAACAATGTGAATTGCGTTTATAGGATTTGTAAGACACCAATGTCACAAGAGAGTGCATTACTCATAGCAGTATCGGATGGGACATATACCTATGCCCTACATCCGGGCGATGACTGAATCAGGCACAATATTGCTCACTGGTATTATCCCATTCAGGGAGAGAACAGGTCATCGTAAACACCAACTGCTCTACCACTAAACAGCGGGTGATTCATTGCAGGGCGCCATTTTTGACAGGCCCCGCTTCCAAGGAAAATTGACGTGCTCATGCATTGTACAGACTGGATCTCCTCCCCTCGAAGCTCCTCGCACGGCAAGAGGGGACTCATCAACCGGTCTAGTCGTCCTCCACTCCCACCACTCGTGGAGGCCAAGCAGTTAGAAGAAGGGCTCGAGATACCATCACACGACACCAGATGCACTGCTGCCTCACTCATTGTCTCCGTAACAAGGAGAACTGGGTCCAATTTCGCGCTCCTGCTGCTCACCTCCACATGCCTCTGCCCTTCGGCAGCAACTGGCAGAGCTGTCAGCCCGTTTGTCATACTCACCCCTTTGCTCCACCTGTCTCCGCCATTCATCACGAACATCCAATTCCCACCGCTACGTGTACCCCCCCCTTTCCCGTGCTCCGGACTTGGCAGCCATAGC